CTTGTCCTGGGACTAAAGGGAATCAATGTTTTACTTGTCCTGATACTAAAGGGAATCACTGTTTTACTTGTCCTAGGACTAAAAGGAATCAATGTTTTACTTGTCCTGGGACTAAAGGGAATCACGGTTTTACTTGTCCTGGGACTAAAGGGAATCAATGTTTCTCTAGTCCTGGGACTAAAGGGAATCACGGTTTTACTTTTCCTGGGACTAAAGGGAATCAATGTTTTACTTGTCCTGGGACTATAGGGAATCAATGTTTCACTAGTCCTGGGACTAAAGGGAATCACGGTTTTACTTGTCCTGGGACTAAAGGGAATCAATGTTTCACTTGCCCGGAGAATAAAGGAAATGATTGTCTTGCTAGTTCTGGGACTAAATTTCAACCCTCTTTCACTGGTTTTGGTACTGTATGAACGTTTTGTTCTTAGAAACAGAATGTTGATACCTAATACATAATACGTAATTTTGGTCGACATTCGATAAATTCTCAATATTTTACTATAACTTTTCATTTGCGTCATTATCTCAAATATATCGTTTTGCACTTATCGTATAAGGGTAGGTTGATACATTAAACATGTTTTGTTGTTGTGAGTTCTACACATGTCACCACAATAAGACATTTTATTATTTGCAGATGTGTTTAAAATTACACACTCCACTTGATAATCGATTGCTTGAAATTTGAAGTACGGAAGCATCGACTAAATTTTAGTTGTCGATGTAGAACCCAAACAAAACAAACATACTGTATTAAGGCGAACGGCAATATTAATATGTGGTTGTTAATCTATTTTGAAAACTGTTTTATGAAAAGCACAACAAAGACCAAAATAATTATAATAATATGAGCAAGATTGTTCTCAGTTGACAAATTGTTGAGTCGGTTGCAAGATCTTCCGGCAGACTGTAGGCGTTGCTACGGTTACAAGATCTTCCGGCAGACTGTCGGCGTTGCTACGGTTACAAGATCTTCCGGCAGACTGTAGGCGTTGCTACGGTTACAAGCATCCTCGAACTTCCAGGGGTTATTTTGCCCACGTTGTTTACATGGACAGACTTTCTGGTCGTCGTCATACTATCATTGGGAAATTAGCTATTTCTTTGTTTAATGTGTAGGTCGATGTTTTCGAATATGATCATTAGTGTGTCTTGTTGATTTGTTATTGATTTAAATGGTGGTGTCGTCGTAGCAGAAGACGCTTGTACTTCCGGAACACCTGGTCCTATTCTACCTGTACTTTTTCAAAGGTGGCCGTATACACCTTACCTATACACGCAAAACAACGCCAAAACACAACGCAACATATTACCGCGTAAACAAGCCTTACCATGATGACATTTTGGGTATTGGTGTTAAGAAAATTGTTGAATATAAAATTAAAGTGTAAAAGTTTTGTTTATATATAAAAATTCTGTTTAAAAACGCCAAAACAACGCCAATTTACTGCCAAACAACAACGCCACATAATACCGCGTAATCATGCCATACAAAGGCACACACGCAATAAATAGAAATTTTGGTTATGAAACTTATATTAAATGAAACATGTCTTTCATATTGTTAACGTTGTGCTTGTATGTCTATATTTGAATCAAGAGTACGAGTAAAATGAGAAATTTTAATTTCTTTCTGAAACTTGTTTTATTTTCTAATATGTTCTGGACCGTACACTTATTCGATCAAAACTCGATAATGGTTCAACTGTCTATTGGTCGGCACGCAGTTCTTATCTGCAGATGTAGGATCTAACCCATAACAAAGGGTTGCGTCTAGCACTTTGAGCTTTTCAAACAATACCAGTGAATAGCATGGAAAAGCGAATGAACCATCTGTTTATGAACAAAGGAAACAAAACTTCAACCCAAATTGCAAAAACTTGTTCGCGCAAAATCAAAAAGTCTTACCGACAACTGGTACCTGAATTTTCAATTTACTGCAGAAGCTCAACATAGCTGAATACGACAGAAGGGATGTTCCACCCATTGACTGCATGGGCGATGTTGATTTTTTATTGCATGAGCGAGCACATTCAAGTGTCACACATCCTCCTTTTGGGAGTACATTTCAAGGTTCCAAGCTTATACACAGCTTTACACTGATTGTTCCAAGAACGACAAAACATAGCAGCTGATTGCTGCTCTGCTGTACAACGCACTTCAATTCAATTACAAGACGGTACCTATGTTTTCCCCGTTACAACATATACTTTCGGTTTGGCTCTCGACTATATTACGAGATCCAAATCATTACTCTTATACAAAACCTCTCTATCCGCATTTACACTCTATGGCGACCCTGCAGGTAGGGCGTAAGAATTGAACCTGCTGCCCCCAATTGCATGATCGTTAGAGGCGATTAAATTGGGACCTTATCTCTTCTCTCCTTTCTAAATAACTTTCTTCTTCCTAATGTCTCCCTTGACAATGCCTCACTTTTGGCCATTTGTTGAGCGTTTGCCCCTGCGAGGAAGGCTTTGGGTTCTGTCCCCTGGCCGAGACATACCAAAGTCTTTAAAAATGTTGGTTTATACTCCTGCTTAGCGCTCAGCAAATTAGGAGTGGGACGACTGGTTCGCCCGTTGTCAGTATAATGTGACCGGGTGGGGCGTCCTGCTGAGTGTCTTCGGCAGTATGTTTCAGTGAGGTAGCACTATAAAGTCGGCATCAGTTCCGCGCTATCACAAGAAGGCAAACACGAACATATCGCAGCCTCCCAAAATTCACACACATACACTACACGCATGCATCTTGCACACAGGGGAGGCCGTCCTTAAATGACCTTAGCTGTTAATAGGACAATAAACAAAATCAATCAAACAAACAAACAAACAAACAAACACTCTATGTATTTCGAGCCATATCGAAATAAAAGGTAATGAAAGTGCAGACAGAACAACTAAAATACATTAAACTTTAAGCAAACCAATATAAAACTTCCAGATACAGATTCAAATCGAACGGCAGCAACGATGGTCACTCGACGCTAGCTTTAAAGTGCAACCAAAACCTAATCATTGTCTGCCAAGTTGGAGAGATCGCAGAGAGTAGGTTGTCCGTACTAGTCATACTTAGCTCACTCATGCTGAATAAGAGAGATCCATCTTCATGATGCGCATCTCACTCCCTATTTACAGTGGAGCATATTTTTATAGAATATTCATATTTAGATTCCCGATAAATAATTCCTTGTACCGAAAATGAAATCCATTTTTATTTCCTTAGACTCTGAAGTATTATGTATCTTTATAAAAGACGTTGGTCTGTTATATTATTAACTTTGATTGCATTAACCGACGTGAAATTTATACGTTTCCATTTCAATCTTGACGCGACCTTCTATAATCTATATTTTGATATTTTACCCTCTTACACTTTTAACTTTGTAAGCCTATCCGGCTAATTATTATACGATATACGCGATATATATGAATTCTATTTTGATTTGTCAAATGGTCGCCCCAAAGTTGAATATTATCCCGGCCATTATTGCTGTCGATGGGCCGTGCAAATTAAACAATCACCTTGTGTGTTGACGTCGTGTAATATTTTATAATTGCATGATGACTCTGTTGTATTTTTTCGTTTTGTATTTGACGTTTTGTCATTTTCAATTAACATTGAGGATCGGTATGTTTTGTCCGTTTGTGTTAACTGTGATGTGTCCTTGCGTTGAAACTGCGATATATATTTATATTGTTTTTGTATGCTGACGCTGTTGTATAACTATTTCCTAGTTAAGTCTCGATACTACGTGTTGACATATCATTATCACGCACATGCACTATTGTTTACTCGGTAACAACGACATTGCAATACGAAAATGACGGCATGAAAAAAGGACATGAAAAACATGTGTATTACGAAGGATGGGAAGTCCTAAATCCCATGAAAATGTCGAGGAGAAAAGTAAACATCAAAAGTTAAACAGGTCAACACAGGGAATTCGTTTTTTAAATTTATAAAATCGGTCACTAATGTGTATCATACTTTCATCGTCCGCACTTGTGTGTACAACTGGGCAATTCAACGATTGCGATATGGTGAGTTCTGTTGATTATTGTTACTGAGTAAAAAATCTTCCGGAAGACTTGAATGACATTAGGATCATCGTATACGTGTTTTATATCCGATTGGTATATTTTGCACTTTACCTAATTCTGCATTATATGTTGCACATTATTGCAAGAACTGTGAACCTTTTGGTAAAAGTTGATCACCGATTGATTTATTCGGTGATTTGGTTGTTATCAAAGCACACCAAGACCTTACATGTGATAATTGTACATTCTACGCTTTGTGTAAGAATTTTGAACCTCCCTCACGGTTGACTAGATACAAGAAATATAGTCTGTACCGATGACCTTGTAATTAACAGGTAATTGGTAACAGGTTAGGTTGCTTTGATTACATTGTATCTGAGTGAATGTACGTACATGTATATGACCGTATATGTACACACGCGTCGAGTAAGGTCGTTCAAAACAACTAAGATACGTGATGTGTCCATTCCTGTTACATTAATAGATAACCATGTATATGGCAACATACTAAAACCAGGAACGAAGTAAGTTTAAAACGTTGTTTTAATGGTATGTCATTCCTTAATGTATATCAACTACGATACTTATTGAACAACTGTGCGATGTATCGCACAGGTTTTCTCCGTGAGTACACAGCACATCGTGTAGCGTTGTGCGTATCCAAAACTGTAGCTGTGTAGGATTACCTCTTATGCAGCTATACACGTACATGCCCGTTCAGCATCATAATCAAAGATTTGTCGATAAATGTGAAGTTCTTAGGAGAGAAAAAGCAAAATTTAATTTGCATAAAATAAATGTGATAAACGATGACTAAGATTAATACATGAAATCAAAGAACGACGCATGTCACAGGGATAAAATGTATATTTTTATACGCCAGGGCTGTTACAATGAACGTATATAAACGAACATACCTTTCACCAGGAGCAGGTGATTCTGGGTTTGTCTACATGAACACGATGCACATGTCTATTACCCTTGTACGCTTTCTCTTTGTCGTGACAGCGGCGGTCTCGACGGAGGGTTTCACTGCAGCAGAGAAACAAGATATCGTGGACCACCACAATGACGTCCGATCTAACGTCCAACCCACCGCATCCAACATGCTGAAATTGGTGAGTTTGTGCTCTTCCTTTATATTCATTTATTTGTATTTCATCTTCCTTAGGCTTTAACAGCAACTATAAAATATCTGTATAGGTGGTTATTTTGTTATATATGTGATAGAACCTCTTTGATATAAGGAACAGATATATATATATATATGTATATACCTAGTTTTACTATTAGAAACAAATATATGCAAACTGTGTAAATCTTGATAGTTAACTTTAAGAAGTTTGACCATCAGTTAAATATTGCTAATATTTACACAAAATCATTTACAATTTGGTCATAAACGTAGTAAGTGAATTGTTTGTGATATTGCTGTAGCGTGGCGTTGTCGAAATAATATCATTATTCAAATCGTCAATAAATAGTGATCTATTATTCCATACGCTCTTATTTTTTTAGAATTTTATTTACATTGTATATTAGAATTAAATTATACGTAAAAACTTGAATGATTTTTTTTATGTTATTGAGCCATAACATAAAAAAGAAGTGTATTCTGAATAAAACGCGAAGCGAAGTACATAAAAAATCATTTAAGTTTATACTTATAATTTAATTCTAATATAGCAAAAAAGATAAAATGATTTCAAAAATTATGATGCAATACACAAAATTAATAAAAAAAATTCGTTTCATTTGTATTCCATCACTAATCAACACAGCATTTAAAGATCTTCCACCCGAGAAGAAAGTCTGTTGTTTGGTTTTGATTTGCCCAGGCTTGGCGGGGACCGCAATGAATGCTGTACACAGCATCAATAAAACGATTCAATAGTTTCAAACGTTTAACTTTATAAATCACGCATTAAATGATGCAACACACAAAATAAATAAAAAATAAATAAAAACAGGAGTGTACCCTAACGCGGTTTATAAAAGAGTACGCTCCGTTTTATGTAATGGCTAAATAGCGTAAAATCCTCATTCAAGTTTATACTTATAATTTAATTCTATTATAAACAAGAGGCCCAAAGGGCCTGTATCACTCACCTGGATATCTAAGCAATCATAGCAAAACATTCTCCAAATGAGATCCAAGGGAATAGGCCAGATCCCAAGGCCAATCCTTGTAGCATATCTGTATAAGATTTTTCATGCCCAGCAATTTTATGTATGGTTATGGGGTGGGGATCTCAACTGTTTCCAAGCTGTGACTCAGAAACTGGGTCCTTAGGGTCGTTGCAATACCCCGGGATCAATTCTAATATCATGACTGCATTGGTCTCTTTTTACCCAGCATTTGTATTTATAGTTTTGGTGTGGGGATCTCAACCGTTCAAAGTTATGACCCAGGGGTTAAGTCTGCAAGGGTGGAGCAGACCCTGGAGTCAATTCTAATATCATGACTGCATTCGTCTCTTTATGCCCAACGATTGTATATACAGTTTTGGGGTGGGGAATCTTGACCGTTTCAAAGTTATGACCCAGGGGTAAGTCTTCAAGGGTTGGGCAGACCCCGAGGCCATCCTGGAAGCGTATGCGCATTCATCTCTTTATAATCAGCAATTGTATATAGTTATAGGGTGGGGATCTAAACTGTTTCCAAGCTGTGACTCAGAAACTAGGTCCCGAGGGGTTAGGTCAGAACCCAGGGTCTATTATAATATCATGATTGCATTTGTCTCTTTATGCCGAGCATTTGTATATATAGTTTTGGGGTGGGGATCTCAACCGTTTTAAAGGTATGACCTAGGGACCATGTCTACAAGGGATGGGCCAGACCCCAGGGCCATCCTGCAAGCAAATGTGCATTCTTCTCTTTATACTCAGCAATTGTATATATGGTTATACGGTAGGGCTTTTTTTGACCCCACACCTTAGCCCAGGGGGTCAGCCCCACCATTTGTACAATTTTGAATCCCTGCCCCCCCCCCCCCCCCCCCCATGAATGATTCTGACAAAATATAATTGATATCCACGCCATAGTTCTACAGAAGAAGTCGTTTATAGTAATATAGCAAAATTGCCCCCTTTTGGCTCCACCGCTCAGCCCCCTGGGTGTCAGTCCCACCATTTGTACAATTTTGAATCCCCACCACCTAGGGATGGTTCCAGTCGAATTTAGTTAAATTCCAATCAGTGGTTAAGAAGAAGAAGTCTAATCAGGTGTAGAGCTCAATGTTATCATACTATTGTGTGAATATAAATTAACTTTGTTTACAAGTTTCTTGAGATATCTTGTAATCAAGCTTTTAACTAAAGTGGAAAAGCCTGAAATTTGACAGTGACCTTTGACCCTTTCACCTTGACGGATTCAATATTACCATACCATGGAGCAATTATCAACTAAATGTGTTCAGGGGTTCATGAGATATCTTGTAGACACGCTTTTTACTGCAAAGTGATGGACAGATGCAAACACACACTGACAAAGTGATTATACACCATTTCAGTTCAAACTGATGAATCATACCTGGTATTGAAAACAGTATAGACCCCCCTCACTAAGTGAGGATTTAAAAGTAGTGAATACCCATATACTGGAACAAGATAACTATCAGTATCTTTATATTTTAATTATCCTAAGTACATGTAGTACATCAATAAAACACCAACATATATTAAAGATTAAAAGATTTCTTTCGAATTAACTTATAACAAAGCAAATTGTTTACCTTTAAACCATATATATTTCAGAAATAAAAAATAAATTACACTGCATGTGTGACTGTTTTTTTAAACTACTTATTGAAATACCCAGCTCTGTTGTGTCTGTGTGAAGTATTGGTGTAGATTACTTGTATGATAACTATATCACTTCCCACATACAACTTATAAGATCAACCACCAGACAAAAAATGAAATTGAAGTGTGGATTTTCTAACCGATATGTTCATCTGATAAACATCACAAGGAGGGAATCAATTTGTCTCACCATGTTAACCGAGAAATTCAAGCACAGGACAGATACACAAGGAAGAGGAGGTAACACTGTTACAACAGACAAAATGAATAGTGATGGTTGAATATACATGGACATTGACATTTTTGACTACTTTGGCCAGAAGGATGTTGACCGAAATTTGAAACATTGTTGATATAGACAATACACAGGATATGTAGATTGTTAATTGTTTCTCGATAAATTGTTTGATGGAGTTAGTGGACTAATGTTGATTATGACTTGTCTTGAGAATGTATGCTGTACATGTGGAACCTTATCAAATTGTTTCAGTAAATTATGATAATGAATTGAGAAAATAAAGCATTTATAAGGCAGATATAGTTATACAATAATACGTCATTATCTGAGATGTGTGAAGCCTAGAATTGATCGTGAGTGACAGCTAGCTGTTTCAGATTATATTACCGGTAGTTACGTGACATTTCTGCATTTCTCTAAACATTTTGAGAAATCTTTATGTGATTCTGACAGAATGAAAATGATTTTGATAATTAATCTGTATACTTAATTCCATGGATAATGATCATGAGTGTTAAAGGATGAAAGTCTACCAATAAAATCTCCATATATAGATGTTTGAAATAGGAACACATTGCGAAAACGAGGCTAATTGAATAAAATAATCAAGAATGGCCTGCGTAATTTGTCAATTAAGGCAGGTATAACATTTATTCCAAATAAGCAAAGCATCCAGCTAGCTTATTGGCTTCTTTGGTGTCGAAGGAGCACATACTGTGTGTCGCCTTTCTTGGCCTTACGTCATTTTCTCTATTTACATATGAAAACAGGTTGTGTAGCTTATAACATTTGTTCAGAATTCCCTTCAAAAAAGGTACAAAGCAGGATTCTTTTTCAGAATCTTTTTCCAGCTTTATCTGTTAGGAATGGAAACTTATTGCTAGATTATTTAAGTAGAATTTGAAAAATGTAAAAATGTGGCTTTGAGGATATGGATAAATGCTTTTACTTGATGGGACTGATCATGGGTGGTATTAGTTAGAGTTAAAATTAAAACTAACTTATAAATAGTTTTATCTCAAGCATTTCAAATGAATATTTTCTACAACCAATAAAAACAACCATGTGAAATAAAACACTGCAACATACAATTAGGGGATACAAAATACCTAAGTATACAAGTAAATACATCAAAAACAAAGCAGTACAACACTTTGGGTTCTATAAACACTACAGCATTCCCATATTAATTAAATAAAGCAAGGTCACAGAGGACAAGGTCAAAGGTCAACGTTACAAAGAGTCATGGAACATGCTCATCTTATCTAGGCACATAGTATGTGAAGTTTCGTGACCCTAGCTGCAGCGCGTAGTCCATAACTGATCTCAATGAGGGAGAAAAAATTGACCAGCAGCTGGACATTCTTTGTGCAAAGGTGCAGTTTGCAGTGGAGAAAAATGTTCAGGATACAATTTAGGCTAGATACCAGTGACTAATCATCCAGAAGTGACCACATCAAACTGGGTTTGATGACAGTGTGTATGTAATATATTGTGAAAAAGAGTCGCACAAATATGTTGTACTAGACTGAAAAGGCAAACAGTATATATAACATCCTTTCACTAAAGATACATAAAAACACAGCAGAATACAACTGGGGTATAAAAATACAGTAATATACAACCTACCATATCATAACTTCAGCAGCATACAAATACAGCAACCTAGTTATCAGGCTTAGTTTACTACTCAAATTATCAAAACCCTTCAGCATGCAGTTTAGGGTATAACAAAACTCTTGAGAAATACATTAATTTAATTATGCTCACACATTTATATACTTCAGTCAAAGCATTTTACCTCCCCTCAATAGTCATCTGTTAAACATGATTTTAGAGAAAAAACAAGAGTCCCAATGGGCCTGCATCGTTCACCTGGTATTAATCTCACACTTGTAATCTTAAAAGTTGACCAAAATACAGCTACAGGCAGAATATCAGTGTGACCTTGAATGTCAAACAATGACATTAGGTTGAAAGTGGGTCAAGGTCATTCATTTGAACAAACTTGGCAGCCCATCACCCCAGCATGCTACTGGCCAAATATCATCACCCTGGGCATTTAGGTTGTTCAGAAGAAGTTGTTGAAAGGTTTTAAACATATTTGACCTCTGTGACCTTTAATAGAAACCAAGGTCATTTATTTGAACAAACTTGGTGGCCCTTTATCCCAGAATGTTACTGGCCAAATTAAGGAACCCTAGACCTCTTGGTTATTCAGAAGAGGTTGTTTAAATGTTTTAAACATATTTGACCCCTGTGACCTAGAATATAAGTCAATGTCATGTATTTGAACAAACTTGGTTGCCCTTCATCCCAACATGCTTCTGGCTAAATATCATCACCCTTGGCCTTTTGGTTACTGAGAACAGGTTGTTTAAAGTAAAATGTTGACGACGGACGGACGAAGGACGCCGCACCATGCCATAAGCTCACTTGGCCCTTCGGGGCAGGTGAGCTAATAAAAAACCGATTCAATATTTTCAAACGTTTAATTTGATAAACCACGCATCAAATGATGTAATACACAAAATCAATACGCCGACGCCATAACGAAACTGTTTCTATTATCCAATTGAAACGCTTGTTACAGTTCTTTCGTCCGAAAGTAGTTCTTTCGTCAGTTTTGTTTATGTTATGAGCTGATAACATAAAAAATAAACCAATAGAAATGCTTGTTTCAAACAATACTACATTATTGCATAAGTTTTTAAACTTTCACTGTTTTAAAATGTTACTTGCTTCGAAAAGTAATGAAAGTAAGTATTGATAGTCATTGAACACATAATTTAATATCCAATATCACTTCACATGTATGATTAAAGATTCAAATATCGATTTTTGTTTTTATCCTGAGACAATCGGTTGTCGTTGGTCTAAAAGTTATAAAAGTTGCGGTAGACGAAGTTAAGTATGATAAAATATTTCAGCAAATTAGTAAGCCTGTTTATCACACTGCTTTTACTCACACCATAGCATTTCTATTTTCAATCAAACATTTTTTTTATTTTTTTTTGTGACTGTCAAATAATAAATAGAAATTATGAATACAATTAACCAAATCAACAAATAAATAATTTCCTTTCTTCATATTTCTAGTGATAAATTAACGTTACACACATTTTTAACACTGTGCACATATTACAGTAGAAAAGTGTAAAAGGTGTAGATTCGGTGTGTGCTCATTTTTAATATTGGATATAGAATAATTCTAAATAATCACATGTTAAAGTTAAACGGAATCACACACATAAACTTTTGTGCATATCGTATTTCTGTGTTTATATACGGATCCGAACGATCTACAATGCACATTATTATGTATAACGGGATATAGCAGTATATATTTCGAGCTCTGTGATATAAAACTATAAACCAAAAATCACACTTAAACATATTGAACCTTAAGAGTGTTTCATATAACATAAATGTGATAGTTTAGCATGGTATGATATATGAGCCATTTGATCAGAAATGGAATGATGAACTGGCGGCTACTGCCCAGAGCCACGCTGACAAGTGCATTTTCCGCCACAATAGAGAAAGGTCTTCCAGTACATCATTCTCTTATGTCGGAGAGAACCTCGCCCTCTACAACAGTAAGTGATTTGTGTTTTAGTTGCATCTTTTGTAATATTGAAGATATAAGGGAAGTAATGGAAGATAATACATATTTCATATTTGCGTAGTAAAACCTATACATATTTGTATAGGCTCTACTGTGTATACAGTGTATATATAGCAGCTTTTTTGAGGAAATTGAAATGAAAACCATCAATACAATTCAAAATGCTTGTTTTTCAAATAGACATGAACTGCTTATAACATTAATTGTCAAAGTACGGGTTTAATTTGATCTTCCTTACGACTGATAAAGAGAATATAATTAAAATATGTCACACTTTATTAAGGCTTTGAGAGATTGTTCATATATATATATATATATTAATTTCTTCCTTCAATATACATTAGATTTTAACACAACACATTTTGTGTATATTTGTATGATTATTTAAACCCTTAAGCCTACAACGCACAAGCAGTCGTGGAATGATGGGCCAACGAAGCATCAGGTTATAATTTTATGAATGGCATTTGCTCTATTCAGCCGTGTGGGCACTATACACAGGTAAGTCAACATATAGGCAGTGGAGGCGTATATGAAATAAATACATACAAATAGTTGAGTATCAATATATGGTTGAACAGTATTGCGAAATATTATTTAAACATGTGCTTTCTGCCACTGGTTCTTATAAAAGGAACAACAAAGCAGACGGCTATGCAAACACTTTTGACAATGTATTGGACAACATATATAAAGTTAGCCTGAAATTTCAGAGAATGTTAATCCACTAGTAATAACTTCCGTACCTGTTTACTATCTCTTTACCTCGGAGATAACAATTATCTAAAGATAAATGTCACCATTATATTTCTTGTATATCATAAAAATCAATCAAGAGGCCACCACTATTCATTAGCGTTTACAGTTTTTGTCTAACAGCCTTTTTCTTAAACTCTATTATCTATTAGGGTTGCGTCCATCCTCGATACTCCATACTATCATACAATATTACGGAATGACCAAGAATGCAACTATAATGGCGATCTATCATTCTATTCCGTACCACACTTTTAATGACAACATTCCACACAGGAATGAATTTTATATTTCCCGTAAGACAACATCACGTTATCCTCTTCATTTATTATGAAAAAAATTACCTCTACCACACGTTTTGCCGAAATACTTGAATTCGCTGGTTACCGATACTGTTTCGATCCTTTCGGCAGGAATTATTCACGTCTTATAATGGTTTAAATTATCTTGTGAGTTGTAGGTACAGTATTTCTTTCTTAAGCACCTGCAGATTCTGTGATGGTGTTTAAGATATTTATTATTATATATTGTCTGTTTACAATTTTCAAATTTGTAAAAAGGATTGCTACGAAAAAAAGTTAAATACGCTCAGTTAGATCATTCAACAAAATCATTTTCCCATGGCAGCGTTAACTGTTTTAAAAACAAAATACTACCTGTGTTTATCCGTTCACAATAACTTTCTACTTTTGTTGTGTAACAGGTTGCCTGGGCAGAAACGGAGAATGTGGGGTGCGGCGTCAAGAAGTGTAGTTCTATTTCGGGATATAGCAATACGTTCTTTGTCGTCTGCAATTATGGCAAAGGGTACGTATTATAGAGTTTTTAGTTATACAATGTACGTTATTTTGTATCGCAATGTCATCGTTGGTCGTTTAGTTGTTTCTTTTGAGTATACTCATTTTTACAACGTCATATCTGTATTGACATTAAAAAAAAATTAATGAATGAAAACAATTGTTTTTATTTTATAAAAAAAAGGACTGATAAATAAAAATAGTTCTGCTGTAACTATCATTGTAATTTGCGATGCATCCTTTGTAACATATTATTAATAGATCGATTATTAATTAGTGGTTACTACATTAAAAATTTCCGGATTTCCCTTCCCTGTTTTGTTTTTCTTACTAACTCTTAAAGTGAAAAATCTTATCAGCGCTGTCTGTTAAAGTGTTTTGTCAATAGGGTTCTTATTTTTTTCTTATCAATCACAAACAAAACATTGCATATTGGATTTATGATACAAGTTTTGGATTTTTCATGTTTGCCAGCCTCTGGCGAGCAAATATGAAAAATCCAAAACGAGTATCATAAATGTAATATGACGGGAAACAAATGACAGATTATTTTTATCATACAAAGTAAACTGTATAATTGTGATATGAAACAAATATTTTGCACTTGGCCGCCTCTGAAACGATGACAATTGCGTCCGCTTTACAATGACGTGACGTCACATTGATTGTTCTTATTCGATTGTGACGTCATTTCCGGAGTGATTTTACACACGTTACATAAACGTAATTCATGTGATGGCTTTATGACACCGCAGAACACGGTATTCGTATGATAAATTTATATATCTAGGCTACGACGATTGACGCTTTAACCTAGAAGACTGTTGATATTTTATCCAAAATAGTCAAATAGGTACATTGTCAAAAGAAATATTTGCAAAAATCATTGCGATTTCGACAAAAGGTATAAATGATATTTTATGTAAACATCTCTCCCTCAGAAGATGACGTTATCACTAATCAGTTGACATTTAAGCCTAAACGTGCGGTTAAAACTGTACATTTGCGTGTTGTGGGAATATTATTAAGTGACAAAAGTGCAAAATGTAAGGATATTGAGCATAGCATGAACGGAATATTCTGAACGACAAAATCAATGCCATTAACAATTCATATAGTTATAATTAAATATATATTCATGCAGGAACCGTTCCCTCGTGGTTGCAAAGGTGTTGAAATTCTGACAGTAAATTGAGATGAAAATCATATAAAAAATATGGGTATTACTATAAAAAATAGTAATACCCTTATTTTTATATAAGCTTTTTATCTCCATTTACAGCAGGTCAGAATTATGTCGAACTGCAAACATCTGTGGTGGTTGTGGAACTCTCAGTAAGTCATTTTCATAAGAAGGGTTGGTGTCCAGCAGCCTTGCTGCATTTTCTTGTTTATCCCATGTTTGTAATCATCATGCTAATTTATTAGTTATATACGTTCATTTTAACTTAAATAGTTACGTATGGTAATTTACACGATTAATGAGTAGTCTGAGTGGTCGGGCCAATCCCTAACGACACAGACATACCCATATATTGAGATTTAAAAAAATATACAATTATTACATAACAATATTTTACAAATGTTAAAATGAAATAATATCATATCTTGTATATTCGTTTCGGAATTGTTACAGTAGTAACACATACCCTTTAAATATAAAGACGATTTATTTTAATGTGACTTTACTATTTGTGCAACACAAAACGCATACAATTACTCCAAACATGATCTCCTATTGTGAAATGTTTGTTTGATATAACAGGGGGAACATCTATGGAGAGTCGCCGTACAAGTCAGGCGTCGCGTGTTCCGACTGTCCATCTGGAAAATCATGTGTAAACAAACTTTGCACTGACGCATGTAAGAAACCAAGGATATTGTCGATTTGAAAATAAATTATTATTACTATTATAGCATGTTTCACACTTTTATAAAAAAAAGATCATTGAATCGAAATGATGATAATGTGTGTGGACACGCTTACCTTAAACCATGCTTTTTATCACAAAGTTATATTTATATATGCTCGACTTTTCATTTCGTATGCCCTTTTGAGTCAGATTTAAACATATTTCATTGCATAAAACTTATTTCTTATGCCGCTTGGATTTGTTAAACACGTTTTTCCTGAATGGAACTAATTTCCTAACTTCCTTATTAGTAGACGAATTGTCCTGTAGTGCCTCCTTATTAGTGGCCGAATCGTCCCGTAGTGCTCCCTTATCAGTAGACGAAATATCCCGTAGGGGATCGATCTTGTTACACATGTACAAACATTTAAAACAAGCACAATTAATCTTATCTTGAGAACAGCTGGTCTTTAAACTTTACATTTACAAGTTATTTAGTTCATATGGTGTTTTTTTTTTTTATATTTGTAGAGATCTACTTCCGATGCCTGTTAAGATGACGACGTTCATCCCGAAAAATATCGACCGAAACTACCGATATTCTCTCCATTTCCTATCTAACTAAGTTTCTATCTCGCAATCGTCTTATTCTGATTTTCAAATTAAAATTATTTCTGCAATTACGTTGTTGCGTTATTATTTTCTGTTCAGTAAAGTATAAGACATTGACGGAAATCTTCACGGATTGGACACTGAATTAACGTCATTTAAGATAATCTCTCAAATAACATTACGTTTCATATATATACAATTTTAAATCATAATTATCAAACCTTACTAGAAAATATCAGGACGGAAAATATACATTTCTTTTCCGTGTACAGCCCTAAAATAAACCGTCAAACTAAAATGTTGTTTTAAACTATTAGCAGAAAAATCACATTCGTGTGAATGCTTTTCAATGGGATACTGTTGGAGTGTGAGAGGGAATGGGGACCAATCATGACATATTCAAATTGTGAGGAAATTTTCCGAATGGTTTGGTTTTGATGTTTGTCGCCTGACGTAAAAATTGACCATAGAAACTATAACGTTCCCGATAACACGACTATATATACACCATTAGGAAACTAATTTGTTTAAAAATGTCTAACGGTTCAAAAGACATCACAAAGATTAAAAACAATAATTTGTTGTTTGGACATAAATACAGGACTGGATGGCAGCTTTTAACATTGATGATGGTATGCAACACGGTTCCATTCTAACAAATTGCGCTGCCGACAGTGCATTATGGGATATGTTTGAACGACACTTTGTTGCCTACCATCATCAGTGTTAAAACATGTATTCCAATCCTAAATAAAATGGAGACAAAGATATAGAAGAAAGCAGCGTTATGTTTTGATATGCTTCTCATTCCTATCTCGATGGTTGGTAAGTTTTTCCAGAGACATGCGATTTTTATGCGAGGATATACAGGACAGACAAATGGACGAACTAAATTGCGTGAGAAGTTTCATATGTTTCACAATAACGTCATTTATCACAGGAGTTTCTCTCCAAGTGCTTACTTTACATTTGTTATTTATCATATTTCATATTTATAATTTATCATACTTTATATTTATAATTTACCATTTTCTTATTGAATTTGAATTCACTCATGTTTTTAGGTCACCTGAGACAAAGTTTCAAGTGACCTATTGCGATCGCCTTTTGTCCGTCGTGCGTCCGTAAACAATTTACATTTTCGACTTCTTCTCCAAAACCACTGAACCAATTTCAATGAAATTATGCAGGAACCTTCCATGGACAAAGGTCAACAAAAAGTGTTGCCGGTTTAGTCCCAAGCCCCCAGGGGCCTGAGGGGCGGGGCCAAAAAGGGTCAAATTGACTAAAATTTCAAAAATCTTCTTCTCAAGACCCAGATATGGTAGAATCGAATACTCTTAATAGATGGAAGGGTCTTAAGGTGCTTTACCCAAATTGTGAATTTCTTGACCCTGGGGTCTATGTTTCCCCTGGGGAGGGGGTAAACTTTACTATAGTTTATATAGGGAAATCACATTTTGGACCAACATTTGTTTAATTTCCATTGGAAGTAATTCAATTTGGGTTAGC